TTTATTGTTTTTTGTTGTTCTGGAAGATTGTAACATAAAATATCGAGTTTAGGAATCCATTGTATTCCTAGTGTCTTTACAGGATCTGAATTTCCCAAGTTTAAGACGCTAAGTTCATCGGCATTGTTCTTTAAATGTTCTATAATGACAGGATCATTGGAAACCCATTTGCGTAAATTAAAACCACTTGACTGCAGTATATTAGAAATGTTTCTGCAGGTTTGTTTCGCAACATCACAATCATCAAAACCTGTAATCAAATCATCGACATAAAAATCCTCATGAATTAATTTGGATTCTAATGGAAAATTATCTTGACAATCATAAGAAATTTGTCTTAAACATCTCATTGCGAGATATGGAGCACTCGAGGTACCGTATGTCACGGTATTTAAGGTCATAATTGAAAGAGGATGATGTACATCTTCTCTCCAAAATATTTTTTGTAAATGTCTATCATCTGGATGGACATCAATACACCGATACATCTTTTCGATGTCTGAAACAACTACATATTTATGAAACCGAAACCTTAACAATATTGCAAAAATATCATTTTGAATAGCTGGTCCTGCGTACTGAATAGAATTAAGAGACTTACCAGTTGTTGTATTAGCAGAACCATTGAAAACAACCCTTAATCGTGTACTAAGGCTTTCATTGCGGAGCACCCCGTGATGAGGTAGAAAATATGAACAAATGTTGTCATCGAAATATGTGTCAATTGACATATGGTTAAGTGCCTGGTATTCTTGCATAAATGAAACATAAAGATTCTTTAATTGAAGATCTTTTTCAAATTGTCTTTCAAGATTTAGAAATCTCCTCACAGCTAAGTCTTTTGAATCTCCTAACTGTTCTCTACTTTCTTTTAATGGAATCTTGACAATAAATTTACCAGTTGAATCTTTAGAATATGTATTCTTGAAATGTTCTTCACATATGTTGTCCTCTTGAGAAATTAACTTTGTATTTGAAACTTCTTCTATTGACCAAAATTTTTCAAGATCCTTCTGTACTTGATCATTCTGTACAAAAAAACATTGGACCTTATCGACATTTTGTGACCACAACCCGGCAACTACATAACCAAAACATGTGTTTTGTAAGACAGGAAGATTTTTACCCAGAGAAATTTTTCCATTTCGAAGTATATCCCAGAATAAATCGGAACCAATAAGCATATCAACTGATTGTGATCTATGAAACGAAGGATCTGCCAAAGAAATGTTTTTAGGAATATTTAATTTAGAACCTTCAATGTTATAAATAGGTAAATTTTCTGTAATTTTAGGTAGGACAAAACATGTTAAATTGAAGATATCTGAATCATAAGTAGATCCAATAGAAACATTGCATTTATAACGTAGGGTGGAAGTGACACGATTGATCCCCACTATTGAAAGATTTGCATCTATTTGCTTTAGGTTAAGTTTTTTGCATAATTTTTCTGTTAGAAATGAAGTCTGGCTACCACTGTCAAGAACAGTTCTTACCTGATGAACTTGACCATTATCATCCCATATATTAATGATGGCAGTAGACAGTAAAACATATGTATTATTGGTTTTTGAGAAATTAGACACAGCTAGCTCTGTCGCGTTATTTGATTCATGACAATTGGTGCCATTATTTGTTACTTGTAATGACTGAGCTTGAGCTGCTCGCATATTTGAATTTGTAATGTGATTAATTGAATAAGTTCCTTGATCCTGATAATGATGCAACAGGGTATTATGTTTACCTTTACAAACTTTACAGGACCCATGACTACAATCTTTACTAAAATGTCCCTTGCATAGGCAATTTGTGCATAATTTCATACCTTTAATCCTTGTCCATCTTTGAGAAACACTTAATTGTAAAAATTGAGGACAATAGTAAATAAGATGATCACTTTGACATAAATGACATATTTTCTTTGCATTAGAAAGATTATTTGACACTAAAGATACATGTTTTTTAAATGGTTTTCTCTGTTGAGAACTTTGTTGAACTTGAGAGTTGACATTTATTCCCCTCTCTTCAAGCTTTTCTAATTGATTTGCTTTGTTATCTAGAAATTTAAATAAATCATTGACTTCTGGTAAAGTATCTTTATCGTATTTTTGCTCCCATTCTTTTAAAGTAACTTTGTCTAATTTGTCTGAAATAATATGAATCAACATAGCACTAGATAATGGATTTTCATAAGACAAGTTTAAATTCTTTAAAACAAGCAAATGTTGATTAACTGTATCTACTAATTCTCTTACAGCACTAGCACTTTCTTGTGTGACTGATTTTAAATTAAATAACGATTTAATATGACTATTGACAAGCAAATGAGGATTGTCAAACCGTTTGCATAAAGCCTGCCATGCTAAAATATAATTTTGTTTAGAAAATTCTAAATGCTTAACAATTTGTTGCACTTCTGTGCCTAAAGAAGTTCGTAAGTAATGGAATTTTTGAATGTCATTCAATGAAGAGTTTTGATGAACTAATAACTCAAATGTTTCTTTAAATTCTATCCATTTGCAAAACTCTCCATTAAAGGAAGGAATTGTGACTGGAGGAAGCTTGACAAATTCTACTTTATTTTCAAATAACTCGCTGTGCGTTGTATTATTTGTTTCAGAACTAATTATTACATTTAATTTGGATACCAAACATAAAGCACTTGCTGTGTAAGTTGCATGGTCGTTTGTAAAGTTAATTCGTTCAGCATATTCATTTTCTAATTGATCATCATCACATTCTTGTTCAATGTCGGTTTGTAAATCATTAAACTCATCATATAATGAACCTAATTTTGCAGATCTTTGTTGTAAATCAAAAATGATTGTCTGTTCTATATGTTCACTATCATCGTATAGTTTTTGAATTTTGTTGAAAAATGAAATAAAACATGTCAATTGCTGTTTAATCGAACCTCGTTTACGTCTTAGTTTTTTAAGATCAGCCATTATGTAAAATAAATTGAAATAAAATCTACTGTGAGATTTCTAACATTAAATGCATAAATGAAAACATAAATTTCACACTTTCAAAGTAATAAAAAACTTGTTTTTACGTTAAAATGAACGTGCATACATATATTGTAAAGCTTTTAATAAACACTTGCAATCATTAAATAAAAAAGCTTTAATAAAACAATGAAAAGAACCAAGTTTTTAAATTACTTATTAGTCCGTAATGAAAATAATAATTAATTTTTTGAATCCTGCATAAATATTTTAAAATCGGATATGTTAAACTAATCGGCAACGCTGTATAAATATACTTGATATGAACTGAGATTTTAACCGTATGGAAAACCGGTTAAACAATAAATTTCGGCTACCGGTAGGGTTTTAGATAGGTAAAGAAACACGTTTTGTAAATTTATGAGGTTAGGAAATTGAATAATGAAATAGGACTCACTTGTTTTTGCATCAAAATTATTGTAATCTTCTTTCCATCTGGATCGTACGGACCAAACTTTATGTAGAAATGAATTGCATACGTTATACACTTTTTATTTACTGAACTATAATAAATTTAACATTTTAAACATTAAATAAACTGAAATGAAATGGACTGTATAATTTTCGAACTGGCTTCTTCGATGGTCGCTAGCTTAGAGAGCGACTTGTTAAAGCCGACTCCGCATGGTCGGCCGGAACACCACGTTGCCACGTTGATTCAAGTTTTCACCAGAAACTATACCTATTAATTACACGAAAAAAATCAAGAATTAATAACATAATATAACCTGATTGATCTCAATACAAAGTATATGCGAAAAAAATTATAACCAATTAAAATCTACCATAAAACTAACCTCTGTCATTAATAGTGATAGACACTATCATTAATATTAGAATTTTAATTGTATCTATTTAAGGCACAAAATTGGAAAAAGGCATATAGAAAATTTAAAAGAATACTATGTACTTCATTTTAATTAAAACGAAGTATTCCCGAAATTAAATATCTTCTTCTTTATCATCTTTATATATTAGGTCTTAGGCCTGTTCTAGTCCTACCTCAAGTCTACAGTCATATTTTTGACGTTATCTGCCAGCTATCTTGCCATTTTTTGAAAAGTTCTAATGTAGTTTGGTGTTTACTTATCTTAAATCTGTGGCCATTCTAACTGGTCTCCCACCGTTTATTCGTTTATCTAACAAGCTGGTTCCATTTTTACCATTTCGCTGTTTTCCATCGTATAATATTTTGTATTTACGGATATCTTTTGTTTGGTTATTTTGTATTTTATCTATCAGTGTTTTGTTAGCAATTGACCTTAAGTTTCTTAATTCTGATATTCAAAGTATTTTTCTCTTGGTTGTATCTGCTCTCTTTTCCTCCTTTTTCCATCGGATATCATTATTAGTCTTACACATGATTTATAATTACTTTTATCAATCCAATCCAATCTTTTCTTATTTTTTTCTTTTTCTTTTCTTATATTTTCTTTAAAGTTTCCTTAACTGGATATTTCTACCCCTAGATACTCAAATCTCGAGACTGGTTAGATTATTTCTTTGTCAGTTATACTTTGGATTGTTCCCACAAACAAATATGTTATCTTAGATTTAGTTATTTTTATATTGTATGTCTAAGAGAGAAAGTTTGAGGGACAGGCTGATGTTCTGTTTCTCAACTTAATTAAAGGCTTTCTGAATATCTACAATAACACAAAGTCCAAGATTTTCTTACCATTTAAATTATGTATAATTATATATATATATATATATATATATATATATATATATACATGCGGCGGCGATTCCGCTACGGTCGGCGTTCCGCCCTGGTTACCTACATCTCTTGTCTTCTACGCACTGACGCCATTACAGTCTGATTCTTCATTGTATACTTGTTTAGTCCAGTGTTTAACATGCCTCCAACAATCGGGAGTCACGCTGATTGTGAAGTACAGGCTGTTATACGATTTCTTAGTGCTAAAGGCGTAAAACCGATCGATATTCATCGAGAGATCATTGAAGTTTACGGACAAAACATTATGAGTGATGGAATGGTAAGGAAATGGGTAAGAGCAATAAAAGATGGCCGCATAAATGTGCATGATGAAGAACGGAGTGGGCGTCCTTCGGTCGTTAATTAAAATTTGGTGCAGAAAGTGGACGAAAACGTGAGAGAAAACAGACGCTTTACAATTTCATCATTGTCCGACTGCTTTTCTCAGTATTCTCGTAGTGTTTTGTATCACATTGTTACCGAGAACTTGAATTACCGAAAATTGTGTTCACGTTGGGTTCCAAAAATGTAGACGGATTTGCACAAAACCCAACGTTTAGGCAGTGCATTGACTTTCCTTGGGCGGTACCAAAGTGAAGGTGATGATTTTTTAGACCAAATTGTTACTGGTGACGAAACGTGGGTGGCCTACGTCACACTAGAATCGAAACAACAATCCATGGAATGGCGACATTCATCATCACCCAAAAGAGTGAAGTTTAAGCAAACAATTTCTGCCCGGAAAATCATGTGCACAGTTTTTTGGGACAGAAAAGTATTGCTGGTGGAGTTTCTGCCTCGTAATGAGACAATCAATGCAGCGTCTTATTGTGAGACATTAAAAAATCTGCGTCGTGCAATCAAGAACAAAAAACGTGGCAAGTTGAGTAAGGGTATCGTTTTGCTGCATGATAATGCCCGTCCACATGTGGCTAATCAGATCAAAGATCTCATCAAATCATTTAAATAGAAAACTCTAGATCATCCTCCATACAGCCCTGATCTAACGCCCAGCGACTACCTTTTATTCCTGCACTTGAAGAAACACCTGGGCGGTCAGCGTCTTCAAGACGATAACGACGTCAAAACATTTGTGATGCAGTGGTTAACAAGTCAGGCGGCAGGATTTTATCAGGAGGGTATTCAAAAACTGGTGCCACGTTATGACAAGTGCCTTAATACTCACGAAAATTATGTAAAAAAATAGATTAAGGTACAGGCTTTCATGTAAAAATAAAATTATTGCCATATCTTTGCACGTCTTTTTTTAATTCCAAAACGGTACGTAGTTAGAGGCTAAAATACTTTTTTTAGAGGCCTAATTGAAAATTAGAGATTAACTTATTGAGTGTCATATATTTTAAAATCTTGTTTAGAATCTTTTCGTATACTTCTCCTAAAACATTGAGAAAACCAATCTACCTGTACGAATCAAGATTAGTCAGAAATTTGTTCTGTTTTGGGAGCAAAATACTGCTGCTAAAATAGCAGAACTTAAGTGATGCGTTAACTAGTTTTGTCAGAGTTTGTATTTTATATTTATATAATTGTAGAACAGCATCCTAGAAGATTTTGTGTAGGTCCTTATGTACTTCGTAACTATTTACGGAACGATTCTAGATTTTAGAAATATTATGCTCTAACTTTGTCCCATCGTAACCTTTATAAATTTACTAAATATAATGTTTTTTCATTGTATTTTTAAGATTTCTAAAATAGGTCATCCTCTATTTCCATTTCCAAATTTTAAACATTAAATAAACCTTTGTCACACTTTAATCCAGTTACGTTTTCTTAGACTGTGCTATAAGCCGCAGTGAAAGTTATATTTATTGAGATGAGACTAGAAAGTGACATCTCCCAGAACAGATTTTCTTGATTTCCAGAGTATCAGAGACATTTCGTTTGGTGTTTAGATTCTAATATTACGCTCTTAGTCGATATTTCTTTATTTCTTTTAGACTGCAAATTGGGTTAATTTCTCTTAAAGTTCTAGTCTAGTTAAAGTTTATTTATTGTAAAATCTTTAGTAATTAAGGTAAATTTTTTTCGAGTAGAAATTTAACAGGTATATTTTTGTTCTTTCCCTTATTTTATAATATACAAATTTGCATATATTTGTAGAACATTCAATTAAGCATAAATAGGATGAATCTGATGTATTAAAATACATATAAATTACAAAAATAGTAGGAACAAAAAGGCGAAGAACAAAATTTGAACATACCAGAATATTCAACAATAATTCTGTACCTCGGAAGTAAACTGCGGTATGTTATTTCACTTAATTTTTCTGAAGCGCTGTTTGAAAAATGATATACATTGTATTTTATACATAACTTTTGACTAACTTTTATACATAATAATGTACCAAATGTGAAAAAACCACCCAAAATAACCTACTCTTTAGTCCTAATAACCATAAAAATTGACAATTTTATATGACATAGTATAGTTTACCTTCCAAAAATTCTCCTTTCAATTGCTTCTCTTGTGAAAAATTTGGATAATCTACCGGTATTTGAGTAAAAAAGGAGACTAACTTTAACTAAACGTCGTTTTATTAAATAAAATTCATCATAAGTGGCTCGACAATCCGTTGTGCTCCCGTTGTGTGGCCTGTTCACAAAAAAGTCGTCACTCCTATCGACTTCTATCAATTTCCCTTCATCTTTTGACCCTTACATTCTGTAAGTCTTCTTCCACATTATCAATTTATCTTCTTCGTGGTCGTCCTTTACTTATTGTGCTCTCTAGATTTTATTAAATAAAATTAAATACTTATAAATAAAAAGGTAAACTTTAAATTACTATAAACTACAAAAAAAGGTAGTGTCTTGAACGCATTAAAATTGTCCAGATCCATATCATGGACAACGTATCATTTTGTGAACTGCCTGACCAATTGTTAAAAATGGGTCAGCATTAAAATGGTTGAAGAATTTTGGACCGACCTCTTTTTATTTTCAATCACTTTTCAAATGTATAGTATCGGCGTCCATATTCCTGTAACTTTTCAGTTAAAATGTATGACTAATCTGTGGCCACTTTGTTATGGTTCAAAAATATAGGAATATTATCATTATGTTTTTAACTAAAACTGATATACAAGCATAGTCTGGTGCTTAATCAAAATATTGCTGTTGATGGAAGGAATATTGTGCAGACTACATCGTATAAGTACCTAGGATATGAAAGTTGTATTGGCAGAAATAACCAGACATGTAAGCTTCCATGTCGCATAGAATTAGCCTGGGCAGCGTTTGGTCAATTAAACTAAACAGTTTAATTGACCATTTAAATCGGATCTACCCATATGCTTCAAAAGAAAAATCTTAAACCAATATGTGTTACTTGTACTCGCTTATGGAGCGTAAACAATAACACTCATAAAAAAGATAGTTAATAAGATTCCCGTGGCTCAGATGGCTATGGAACGCCAGATGTTAGGTGTCTCTCTGAGACACCAAATCCCATACGAGGAAATACGTCGTAAAACAAAAACAACAGACGCTATCGAAAAAATCTCGTCGTTAAAATAAAATTGGGCAGAACACGTCGTTAGATTATCAGACAACCGATAGACAAAACGTATTTTAGAGTGGAGACAAAGACAAGAAGCAATACGGAGCAGAAGGTGCCCACCAACTAGATAAACTGACGACCTAAAGTTTGTTAGCAATAACTGGATACAAGCCGCACAATAAAGAGACAGATGTAAAGAGCTGAGGGAAACTTATGTCTAGGCAGTGGAAACATACAAGTGATTGATGATAATGTTGATGATGATATACAAGAAGATATAAGTCAAAGTGCGAAGAGTGATATGTCGTATATCGTAACTTAGTGGAGTCTTTTACGTTGCCATGTTATCCATTCCTGTTGTAACTTAAACATCATAGTTTATAAAGTTAGGTTAGGTAATTCAAAGTTAATTCAACAACATTCGCCTATGTATTTATTGGCTTTTAATATGTACGTCTAGATAGCACTGATGATGGAATATTAATTTTGAAAACGTTCTGTGATGTAGCCTGATAGGGGTTTTATTAATATGCCTTTTACAAAGGAATTTTTAAATAAAAGTATATATATTTTATTAAGGAAAAACTTACAAATAACCATAAGTTAAGACAGATTGAGGCAGTTTAAGAACTGCCTATTCTTCTTCGTCTTCGCGTGCCATATCAGAAGTATCCGACATTGGCGATCACCATTGCGAAGGCTTCTCGATCTTCTGCAATATGGAATAAGTGTCCTGCATTTGGTATCTGAGTCTATTGACGAATGTTTTTTAACCAAGCAACTTGTTTTCTTCCTACACCTCTACGGCCCTCTATTTTGCCTTTAAAGATCAGTTGTAAAATTTTATATCGACTTCTCCTTACTATATGTCCCAGATAAGACATTTTTCGATGTTTAACAGTCTTTAGCAGTTCTCTGTCTTTATTGACGCTCCATAGTACTTCTTCATTAGTTTTTCTTGCTGTCCAAGGTATCTTCAGCATTCGTTTATGAACCCACATTTCCAATGCTTCACTTTTGTTCATGATCGATACTTTTAGCCTCCACACTTCTGCACTATACAAAAATACAAACCAAACATAACACTTAACCATTCTTTGCCTTAGTTCTAAACTGAGACGGTTATTGCAAAGAAATGACTTCATTTTCATAAAAGTAGTTTTAGTCATTGCTATTCTACGTTTTATTTCTATGTCTGGATCTCGTTGGTCCGTTATCACAGTTCCCAAATATGTTATTTTGTGAATTTTCTCAACTTGGACTCCATTCAATTGAAGCTTTGCATCGGGATGTGGGTCACGACTAAACACTAAAAATTTGATTTTGTTTGAGTTTATTTTAATGCCCATTTCCTCTCCTACCTCGTGAATACAATCAAGCAGAATTTGAAGACCTTCAATATTATCTGTTATAATTACTGTATCGTCTGCGTATCTAATCACATTAAGTAGTTCCCCGTTGATTTTTATTCCATATGGTTGTCTCTCAAGTGCCTTTTTAAATAGCTGGTCCAAGTAAACATTGAACAATGTTGGCGACAAAATGCAACCTTGTCTCACTGCTCGTTGTATATGAATTTCATCGGTGTAGTTATCTCTAATTTTTACGATAGCAGTTTGATTTCAGTACAAATTTTTAATGACACGAATATCCTCATCTATTCCGATATTTTGTAGTATTTTCATTAATTTTACATGCTGTACTTTATCGAATGCCTTTTCGAAGTCCACGAAACATGCAAATACATCTTTTCTT